GTATGCAAGGATGAGTACAGACCGAAACAGGCACGGGAGAAGATAAGCAGAATGTAAACCAATCAGCATAGTCACAAAGGAGAGAGCTGGCGCTGAGGAGTTGTTGGCTGGGTAGGAGAGGAGGGCGGGAGGGAGGCCAAAGGAGAAGAGGACACAGGTGTGAGAGCCAAATCCTTATCTTCCACTTAGGGAGTCAGTGAATAAATGTTCATTTGGATGATTTAGAAATAGTCCTATTAGTAGGTTTATAAGCAATATGGAGGAGAATAGCAAGAGAGGGTTGGCAGGGACTGTGTCCGGGCACCCCGATACCTGAGGAGAGAGAACAGAGGGCCACTAATTCCCCCTTGTGAACCTGGAGGTGCTCTGACTTTTGAAAACCATATACACAGTGTTACTTCATTAAAATTGAAAGAAGAAAGTTGACATCCTGCTTCCTCTTTTAGGCCAACTCAAGTGATGCCTTTCCTATGTGTCTTGCACCATAAGTAGACCCACAACACCTTTCATTTAAGCTTACACAGAAATTCTTTAAACTCCTTGTACAACATTAGCCTCTGGTTTTAGATTATTTTTATTTTTATTGTCCCTTTTGCTAGATTATTAGGTTTTTAAAAGTAGGAACTGTTTATCTCAAAATGTTCTTCAATTCAGTGCTTATTAGCTTCTTGACTGGCATAATTGAATTGAGGGTTTAGCCATTTTGTTTCTTAGCTCCTATTTTTGAATCATGGTGGCACTAAAATGGAAATGTTCTAACTCAGATTTATAGAGGTTGCCAGCTACTAACATTTTATGTATTTTTTGGAAAATATAATTTTTTTGTGGAAAGTATAGTGACTTTTTTGAAAGTACTCTTAAATCTGATTCTGCAGATTTTGGTAGAACACTATTTAAGAGCAAATGCCTATTATAAATTACTGATAATAAGAATTTGGTTTTTGAAAATTAGGAGCTAGTTTCTTATTTGGATAGCTGTTGATTGGTATGGGAAAGATTTGTTCCTGTTACTTATTTATGTTCCACAAGGACTCCTTTTATTTGGTTCCAGGAGGACTGGTATTCTGTGCATTTGATATTTTACCGTATCAGGGGATTCATTGTTTTAATATTTTAATCCCCTGATTATCAAACAGAGTAACAGAAGTAGACTGCTCCGGTTGGGGCACTTGGCCCGCCCTCCTGGCTGTCTCCTACAGCAAGAGAATGTCCAAGCTATTTTGGGCAGATAGGAGGGTGGGTTTCCTGTTCAAGCACAGCCCCATTCCCACCTCACCCTGATTTAAATAGTTCATCATCGTCACTACTTTCTTTCAAGAGTACAATTCGTAAGCCCAAACTTCCTCTATTTAATTCAGCCTTATTTTAATGTCACCTTTCTCCTTATAAAAATGTTTAAATACTATTTCAGATATTCTTTAGCCCTGTGGCTTTTGCTAAGTTATCCTTAGGCTGATTAGGCCTAAGTTTACATTTACAGAAATAGTACATTTTTAGAAGTCAGCAAATAATGCAATTAACTCCCCAAACCGTTTGGCTGCTATTCAGTGTGGTAGAGATGAACAGTTTCAAAAGTTGCAAAATTGTCTTAAGACAGCATTAAATTATCTAAAAGTAAAAAGTCAGTAATTTGTAATGCCATTCATTTAAAAAAATCTGCTTGTTAAATTTTAATTTTTAATTTTAAAACGTTTCCCTAGTATCATGATGAAGTGAACTGACTTCCCTAAAAATCCACATATTTAAGGATATTTAATTTGGAGGAAACAAATGGTTACATTTACTGAAGAGTCACAATTTCCTGCATAGCTCTGGAGACCTCTCTTGTGCCCAGAACTGTGCTGGCTGAAAGTTATGGGGCTTATTCTGCTTGGATTCTGCTTGGATTCATGCACACACAGTTCAGGGTCACCCGTGGATTTGAGTAGGGTTTATATGCAGAAGTCATGGCTCCTACTTTGTCTTTACTTCTTTCTGGGATTCCTCACTTTCCAACTGCTCTCGTAGCCCTAATCTCTGGCCTCTGATTCTTCAACCAACAAAACTAGGTATTTCTATATATTTCTATTTCTATATTAGTTTTAGCCTCTCTGCATGGCACTAACTGGAAACTTTTCTCAGGTAAAAAGCTATAAAAAATGGAAAACTGACCCAAGTACCAATTGTCTACCTCCTCCATTATCTGCTTGCTTTTAGTCACTCTCCAGTGCCTTCTACTAATTACTTTTTGAATTTTGTCTAGAATTTATAACTGTTATGTGAACTGTGCAATTACAAGAAGCAGAACTCATCTCTCGTTTTATTTTAATGGCTATTACAAGTCACAGGGAGAGCTACAGCGAAATCTCAGATTTTAAGAGAGGTAAAAGAGATTTTGCCCTCACATATGCCCTTGTTCTCTGTTCCTGCCTGTTTTAGTGTTTAAGTAGTGCTGCCTTGTGCCACAATGACTGTAAACATAGGCACCGAAATCCGTTGTGGTACTTAGTTATAAGACGTCCATCTGTATGATTCTGAGTGTTTTTATTAAGATTAAAATTGAAAGGAAAAAACCAAATAACTATATTCTTAAAGAGCACTCATGGATGCGTCCCCAAGAATCTGTCCCCAAGTCGGCATACCCCTGCTGTGAGACGCTGCTAAGTTGTTCTCCACATCTCAGTCAGAGCCTTCTGACTGTTATTCTCTGGTTCAAAAGCTTTCTGTGAGAGACCTTCTCATTAATTGCTAGTGGAATATAAATTGGCATAACCTTTATGAAGACTATAGCGACATCTTTTAAAATTACTAACGCATTTAACCTTTGATCAGCAATTTCACTTCAGGAATTTTATCCTATAGATATATACATGTGAATGGACATTTGCACTGATCCTATAGTTATTAAAAAGACAATAAAAGTCTTTGAGTACAGTTTTTCCAGAGCATGGAACAGAAACTATGCAGGGGAAGTATAGTTTCCAAAAATCTTAATAGTACATGGGAGTTCATGAACCGTTTCTTAGTTTTGGTGAATCTTTTAAGATTTCCATTACCATTCTCATATAGGTAAGATCTCAAAGAGATAAGATATTGCAACAATAAACCAGTATTAGTATAGTATAAAAAGGAACACTCAGAGAGCACTTAGAAATTAAAAATATGATTAAATAAATACAAATTCAGTAAAAAAAAAATTTAGACATTAAATAAAAAATCTCTTAGAAAAGAGGACAGAAAGACAGAGATGGAAGTAAATGAATTCCGACCCTGAATCCTATATCTAGCAAATTATTAACCAGGTGTGAGGACAGAAAAAAAGGCATTGGCAGAAATGCAAGATTTCAAATGCCCTTTCTCCAAAAACTGCTGGAGTATGTGTTCCAGCAAATGTGGAGTAAATAGAGAAAGGAAGACATGAGAAGTGAGAACATTAACTCTGTTTTAGGAGAGCAGAGAGTCACCAAGGCATTAAATAGCAAAGGGTCCTTCACAGGGCGAGAGTCACAGGCAACAAAGCCAGAGTCCAGGTGAAATTTATTCAGGAAGATGAAATGGAAAGAGCGTCCGATGCATACAAATGCCTTGGGATAAGATCTGGAACACAGGTCAATCCTGCCCAAAATTTTAAATAACATTCTATTTGAACACAAGTACACCCATTTATTTGTACATTGTCTATGGCTGCTTCTGTGCACACTTCAAAGCAGAGCTGAATAGCCGTGGTAGAGACCACATAGCCTGTAAAGTCTAAATGTTTTCTATCGGGCCCTTTAAGAAAAAGTTTGCAGACCTGATCTAGAGAATTGATTCTAGACAATTGGCTAAGAGCTTGTAGGTACATTAGTTATGTGTATATAGAAAACAATATAGTCACTCAATCCAGAGAGAACAGAAATTGGGCCAGAGGGAATAGTAGCCAAGATTGACTTTGTGGCTTAGCTTGGAGTATCTTTACATGATTATAATAATGTAAATGTCTAAGACTGTGCTAATGAAAATTCCCATATACCTGCATTGGGAGGATGGGAAGGATGTGCATGTGTAGTAGGGAGAGGAAAGAGCTTAGTCCTCATCTTCCACAGTGGGAAGCCCGTAGATAAGCCCTGAAACTGAAGAACAAACATGGAGATAAATATCCAGATAATTGGCTAAAAGAGGTAAAAATAAATTCCTCCCCGGGAGGGAGAAACAAAGGGCAGAGGGGCGGGATGGCCATTTTTCAAACAAACAAACCTTTTGCCCACTTTAAACTGTGTACCTTTATACTTTTGATAAAGGGAAAAAAACATTCACACACACCCCCACGGCCACACACACACAATTGGAAAACAGAAAAGAAACTTTCTCCAGGTCAAGTTCCTCATGCTGCCCCTTTGTGTTCTCACTCCCAGGGCATTTAAATCACTGAGGACCCCAGTCTTTTTCCTGTTGAGTCAGGATGTGGTTGCAGAATCTTCAGAATCGTGTTCTAGCAACCACTCCCAATCAGTAAGAGCTGCTCCTGCTCCTGAAGCCAGTACCTCTGGTATAATTAGTGAATCACAGGCCAATCATTTAGGACGATTCTGTCTGCTTTGCAGACATTCCCACCAATGGCACGTTGCTATAATGTGCTATTTAGCCTAGCATTTGATGACTCTAAATGTGTCCTAAAGTAGCTGCATTTTAAAACTTCATCTGAGTATGACTGAAACCCACGAACAGGGGAAGATATAGTATTTCTCAATAATAATTTGTAGATACAGGATCATTTAATATGTTTTCAGCATCTATCACTGGACTTAACATATCGGCTACTAAATGTTTGAGTGAATGACTAAATAAACTCTGTTGTGTAACCAATAGCAATTTAGAAAAAAAGGATGACTTGAGAAGCTGAAGAAGCCAACCCTTGCAAAGGCAAAAGGTGATTCCATAACTTTCTCTAGCTTTTCAATCATTAAAGCTAAGCTGTGGTTCTGAATGATTTTGACTTCTAAATTAAAATAGTTGTTGCTTTTTTTTCTAACTCTCAACAGGATCTTTCCAATTAAAGATGTACCTCTGGAGACAGATGACCTTGTTGATTGGCTCTATCGGCGTTTTATTGAAAAAGAGGACCTCTTATCACATTTTTATGAAACAGGTACACACTATCCTATTACAACACATTCCTGAAGTTACTGATAGTTCCAAAGATGTACTTTAGGGGAGATAACCATTTTTTGATTCTTCAGATACCTTAAAGGAATCAAAGTATTTCTCTTAAGAATTTCAGCTTAGAATTTTTATAAAGTCAAGTTTATGTTAAATTTACTCAGGCTCTTACTTTATGAGCCAGTCTGCAAAGATCAAATGATGAGTAAAATGTACAAATGGATCTAATTCAAGAGAGTACACTGTCTATGGAAGACTACAGTCATGCATATATAGTTACATGGGCTGTTTTATGAAACAGCAAATAATATTCATGTTTTGACATTGTACCTGATTAAATAGCTATCATCTTAGAGTCAATTGAGATAATTTCTAATGGCATGCTTATTCTTTCATTTACATATAAGGGGTAGAGTTTACATTTAAAGTTTTCGTAGATACAAGTTTATATTTTTTTCTTGGGAAAAAAATTCCATTTGCCCATAAGTCCCTTTCCTATATTTAGTATTCTCTGTGTTCTTTGAAAACTGCAATGCAGTGAAAAAGGCATAGAAGGGGAGGAGGAAAGAGGAAGAAAGTTAGGAAGGAAGGAAATTGACATTGGTAGAATACCAGGCACTCCCACAGGCGTGCCCCTTCCCCGTGGTTTCGGTTACCTGTTCTGAACTGTGGTCCCCAAGCAGATGATCCTCCTGACACATCAGGTCAACAGTGCCTTAATGCTACGTCCCTGCGCCTAGTCATCCACCTCCCTTTATCTCCTCATGGAGGCATTTTATCATCTCGCATCATCACAAGAAGGGTGACCACAGAACAGAAAGAGTTTTTGAGAAGGAGAGACCACACTGTCACTGTAACTTTTGTGACAGTATATTTTAATTGTTCTATTTTATTATTATTGTTAATCTCTTACTATGTCTAAGTTACAAATTGAACTTTATCGTGAGTGTGTATGTATAGGAAAAACCAGTATGTAATAGGTTTCAGTACTATCTGTGTTTCAGGAATCCACAGGTGGTGTTGGAACATATTCCCCACAGATAAGGGGACTACTGTGTGTTGTAGGCCTATTTTCTAGAGCCAATGATTGGGAAAAAAAGTGAAGAGAAAGTTTTCTCAGGTCTGAGGATGGCCATGGGATTTCAGATTAACAGAGGTACATTTTTTCCCACTTAGTCTTTTTTGGTACAGAATTAAATGATCATGTTAAATCAGCCTGTCAAAGTCCTCATGTTGAGCAAAGGCTGATGCTGTTAATTACCTTTAGTGTTCCTGCTTTTGTGTTTAGGGTTATTTCACTTTGTTCTCAACAGGATTCCTCACTGATCTTAGCTTTCTGACTCCGGGGCTGTGGAGTGTGTGGAGGGCATGTTAACCTCACAGGAGTCACACACTGTATGTCTTTAGAATTCCTAGAGTGAGACTGATTAGACAAGATGCTCCTGCTTCGCCGTTTGCCATCCTTGGTCTTATTCTCAGATTTTCCTTATAAAGATAAGGCAGGATGGATGTGTAAACAGTCATGAGGCTACTAAGAAGCCAACGAGATTTCTCTTCTTTTTCAATCTCCGTCTCTTGCTTTATGAGATTTGGCCTAAATTGTAGCAACAATAATGGAAGCCTCTTTTTAAGAAAGTTATTTGCATACTAGACCTGGAAACCCAAAAGTGTTCTCTGTAAATTGCTTGTGAGAAGCAAATCCCTTCAGGAATCAGCTTACCCTAGGGGATTATCAGCTAGGGCAAAGACTGCTTGAAATGCTGAAGACTTATGAAGATGACCTTAGGTAATACTGCTCTGAAGTGGTCTAGCTTTCCTTACCAGAAAACGTGTTTACTTTATTTCTCCTTTTTATTATTAAGATGATATAGCTTACAACCACTATTTTGAGGCTCAGACATTTCACTTCTAAATAGAGGAACTAGTACAAGTTATGCTCTTTGGGAAATTATTTAATACTGATTTCACACATCCTGTGGCTTGGCCACTGTGGAAATCTCTAGGGATACCATGGGAAATAAGGCAGCCAGAGTGCCTGCTTTCATGCAGTTTATATTCCAGCAGAGGATAGACAGTAAACAGGTGTGGAGGAAAAAAAGAAAAGATAGGTCAGGATCATGACAGATTGTGAAAAGTGCCCAGGAAGTAAACAGGAGCGGAGATGACCGCGGCGGGGAGGCAGCAGGGTCTTTCTGATAATGGAAGAATGCAGTTGACCGTGCCCTTCACTGAGGTGAAGGAAAAGCCTTCCAGGAGAGACTCAAGGCAAAGGCTCAGAGGCAGGAAGAGGCTCAGCAGTTTAAAAACTGCCTTTCAAATGGGATCTCTCTTCAAGGGCAAAGGGAAGACACAGAGGACACTTTACAAAACAAAAAGTCTGATTAAACTAATACTCGACTTTTGTTTCAGGAGACCTACCACACAGTAAAACAAATTAATGTTTCTGTCTTGTCTTTCAGGGGCCTTTCCACCTCACAAGGGCCATGAGGAAGCTGTTGCCAGGGAGATGACCCTCAGCAACATGTGGATATTTCTCATACAGTCTTTTGCATTCTTGTCAGGCTATCTGTGGTACAACGTCATGCGGTACTTTTACCATTGCCTGTTTTAGGACTTGTCAGGCTCACCGTAGGAGCTCAGACTTCCGTAAGTGGGCATTATCTTACATGTGCAAATCAGAGTATGAAAAAACAGCAAAGGAAATTCAATGGATGAATTAATATTGTCCCCCTTTGGGATATTTTAAAACTACTAAAATGAGGATCAGTAAATATAATGACCTGCTAATATGTTTTAAGGACTTTTCATGTTTTAAAGAGATACACTCTGCCACATATTTAAGCAAGCATCACATTTGGAGAAGAGGAAATCATAAAATCATCCTAGAAGACTATCTGAGAGAAATTCTGTTGCCATCAGATATACTTGATAATCTAGTGCAAGCTCAGAAAGTTGTGTTGTTCCTCTTAGCTAGTAGTTTCTGTAGGGCCATGCTGTAGAGTGCCCTCATGTCCACCGACTCTTGCTCTTTCTGATAACCTTGAGGGGAGCTGGTTAGTACCCTCCGAAGGACTGTTTCCCTGTTGTTTGCAGTGACGTGCCCATCCTCAGTAACCAAATGAGGTGCAGCGTCAGGCATGCTCTGAAGGGAAAAAGCAGTGTCCACTGGACACATTCCTGTGCTGGAATGTGTTCCATGAAGGCTAGCTCAGTCCAGCGCCGTGTTTACATGTGCTGGGGCTTTCCCTTGTATGAGGGGGGGTCACATAATTTCTCTTTTTGCGTAGAAGGCGTATCATAGATTGATAACTGTCTTTTACAAAATGCACTTTTATCAGATGCATATATAGCAAAGGATCAGTAATACAGCTTGAAAACAAATGTAAGCATAATCAGTGAGTGGGATTCTTGAGAGGCCGCCCAGCCTCTGCCTGTTTGTGTGCCGATGCTGTCCCGCGCCCCCCTGCATCCAGTGCCACACTGATGTCAGGCTTTCATCTAGCTCAGAGGCTTTTTTCCATTTTGGCATATTATCAGCACCAAGTGCATTTGGGGATGATTGAAACAAATTAATGTAAAACATTTCAGTGATCAATTTAAGGCAAAATAGTGTAATTTATTAGAAAAATAAGAACCAGAGCCAGACACTGGCTTCAAATGGTGACAAGTTCTCAGATGACACCCCCAGAACCTGTGTTCTATCATCACATCAAGGTGCTGCCCACATCCGGATGGTATAACCAGGAGACAGAGCAGCACAAAAGGCTTCCCAGTCTCTTCCGGTTGTTTTGAATGGGGTAAAGTTGAGTTTCTGTGTCTAGAATTTTTCTGTTTGTCATGATGTCCATGTGATTGACCTCACAGTGGGATAGGACCACCCTCTTCTCAAACATGCTGGCCCTGGCTCGGCCCCCCACGCGCACTCCCAGTCGTCGGGACAGAGCGTGCTTTCTGGTCTGGGACTGAGACCGTTCAGCGCCTCGTAGGCCAGTGGTAATTCTGTGTGATGTGAGCATTGTAGGCTCCCCTGTTGTTGCTAATCAGACAAATGACAATTTTGAGAACTAGGCCAGAAAAAAAATTAAGACTAAAGCTTTCTGTTTTTAGATAAACCAAAAAACTGAAAAGATGTGACTTTTCTCCCAGTTATGTGGGGAAGGTAAAGCAACACCAAATAAAAGCCCACAGCAGCTTCATCTTTAGGTTAGTTCTGTGCACATGTGAAAGAGAATGATGTGTTAGCCGAAATACCTCATGGAATATTATACTACTACTGGTGAAATGCAGGCAGTGTTGATGTGATTGGCTTGGTAGTGTTTGTTATAAGATGCAATTTTTCTTTTTAATCTAAGCATTTCATTCTGTTTTTTTTTTCAGTGACAGTGAGTAAGCGAAACCAATCTCAATTTAGAGGTATGGATGATGACAGTGAGCCAAATAGAAGCTTAAAGATGCTTCTGTTTGAGGCCCCAGCAAACGCTGCTAGATTCCAAGATGAGTTGAAATTGTTCATTTGAGAGATTAGTCAGCCATCTGGGGCATAAATTGCTCACTGTCAAGGATGGCATGCACAGTCCTAGCTAACAGATCCTTTTCCTCATTGCTAAAGCAAGCCACTGGTAGAGCGGCCAGTTGGCCTGTCAAAAAGCAGAGAAATGCATGCATGCATACGTAAATGTGGTTTAGGGCCACTTTTGCCATCGCTGTGCTCCGAAGGGACATGATACTACTTCACGTACTGTCCACAATAAACAGACTCTTCCATACGATGCTTTGTTCTTCAAGTGCAGCGTCATTTTAACAGTCTCTAGAGTGACAAATACCAATAGATGTGTGAGTTAATTTTTGAAACTAGATCTGTGAGTTGTAAATAGATGTGTATTTGATCTGCTGTATCCCTCTTTGATCCTTTATCAACATGTTCTCTCTCTTCTGTTGCAAAGTATGTTTGAGAGCATTGACAGTGCTTCCTTACCAGAAACTCGAGTTCTCCTGCCTGCACTAGGGATGTAAGAGAGTCAGTGTTCTTACACAGCCATCAGGGAAGCCGCAGTATGCCCTGTACAGAACTGCATAGAAATTCCTGGCTTGTACTTTCTTTGCCAAGTGAATGAAAAGATGTTTAGAGAATATACATTTTATCAAGGGCAAAGGAAATAAAATCGTGCCAGTTTTATACCAGTAGCTTGAAGAATGTCAGCACTTCTTGGTCACAACTGATATGCTTAGATTCCAGCAGCAGAGGGGATTGAGAACTTCCTGCTGGATCCTGGTCTCAGCGAGTCACAGTGAGACCACATCTGCTTGGCCCTGGGCAGGTGCACTGACTACAGAAGCGACCACCCCAGCAATTCACTCTTACTCAGAAACCATAGTTGGTATTGAAATACACAGATATTGTGGAGAAACCTAAACACCAGGGGAAGGTAAAGGAAAATTATAGAATGGAAAATGGTATTTTGGATAGGCAAACAAATTAGTTGTGACTCTAAATAGTAGTTTGTTTGTTTTTTAAAGATAGCTGTGAGAACAGGTCTGTCATACTATTGTCAAGCTATGATATACTGTCATAGTTTTTACTGTTACAGCCAACCGTTAATTTTATATAGTAAAGGAACTAGAGATTACTGGATAATTAATCCAGTAATAAGTTAGAGTAAGCCGAAAATTAATTGTATTTAGGAATTTGAAGTTTTGTTCTCATCAAACCTTTTTTTATCATTCTAGGGATTATTTTTAATTTTACAAAATTTGACTTTTTTATTAATTTGTCTTGCCTGTGTATTTATGACTGTGTTAATGAGTAGTGGAAAGATTTGGAAAGATACCTTCAGGAAGAGGAAACACAAAAGCCTAAATAATACATGGGCTAGAATAGGAATCCCTGCATATTCAAGAGTTGGCAGTATTGCAGTTGTTCTCGAGCCTTTTTATGAAAATGAAATGTTAAATCACCAGATATAAACTTCACAACATCATTCTAGTGTTAATATCTTTTGGATTGGTGTTAAGACTGCTTCTTCATTCTTTGCTCCTGTTACTCATGTCTCATGAATTTGTCTTAGTAATATTTTTTGACAATCACTTCCCTAAAGACTCTTAGGAACTAGTGGGACCTGGTTCTAATCAAAGAAAGTAGTCTTTAATCATGGATAGGTTTATTGGATTTTTTCTATATTGAAGGACATTTTATTTGCACTGCTGGATAGGAAGAGTTAGTTATTTTCTTTGTTACACAGGACTTCACTCCAGAGTTACCATTAGGAGCATGTCAGCTCTGGGCCACAAAGGAGGGATAAAACAGTCAGTCTTACTTGGTGTAGTGCAACCCTTACATCTGTAACATAAAAGGCAAAGTGGCAGGTGGACTGGCTCATTTAATGAGGGGGTAAAAACATACATCTGGGACCAAAACCACCTAAATCGAACATTTCTAGATCACAGAGGGGCCGGGTGTTCTCTGGAGCAGTCACGGTTGGTGCTTTATTGTAACCATTTTGCATTGATCCCCAACAATTTGGAACTGGACCCTGGGAATAAGCTGAGGGTGCTGAACTTTTTGGGGAAGTTGACTGTAACCATATGGAAGATAAATGTGCATTTTTCTGCAAAATTTCCACTTGAGGATTTTTACATTCAATATTTTTTTAAAACAGTTGAAAGAGCAAAAAAAATTTTTAAGTGTATTCTAGTTGCAAAATATGCACACATATTTTGAATGGCTTTATTTTTATTGTGTAAAACTGTGGAACACAGGACTGTGATGCACAAATTCTTTACATGTAAGGAGTCTGTGCATTTTACAGTAACACTTCATGATTGGGTAATGAAACAGTTATACATTGAACTGCTATTGTTGTACTAAGTGCTTTCATTTTCTTTACAGTTGTTACACGGCTGTATTTATTTTATACACATGGATTTTAGTTTTCCTGATGCCATAATGTTTACTTCAGCTTGTTGACCTGTCTTTCTTTCTTTGTGTATCTGCATGTTGTAATGTATGATAAGAATGAATGTAAAGGGTGTGGCAACTGTAATTAACTTTTTGTAAAGGGCTGGTCACAAGTGGATCTGGTTTATGAATGCATTGCAGATTATTTTAGTAACCAGATCACCTTTGCAGAAATTTGGATGTGAACACCAAAAGAAGCATTTTCTCAACAAAAATTAATAGCTGGTTCTATTTTTTTTTAACCTAGAAAAAATAAAGTTGATTTTTCTCAAGTAAAGTGCTTTGAATTTTTAGTGGGAATGGGCTGTTTGTGTTTTACTAGAGCTATTTTGGCATTAACGCCTGCGGACCTGTTGTGTGTAGCACTCCAGGGCAGGTGGCTGCAGGGCCGACTGGAGAACCCAACGAAACAACATCTCCTTATTTGGTTTTAAACTTGCTCCCCATTCTCACCATTCAGTAGCATACTGATAAATGTTTAATAGTCTGTTGTCCTGGAAAAATGATTATGTATACAAGTGTACATAAGTTTCTTATAAATTTTGCCAATAAGACTATATAACACAATTAACAAACATACAATACTAAAATATGCTTTATTGTAAATTCTATATAGCCAATTGATTCTCCCAGGATTCTTTCACTGATATTTGCTGAATTCTTGTAGCCAACCTATAATTGCAATTCAACTGTGATTTGAAAAATAGAATTGCATTCTAATCCACTTATTTCTCAAATTTATTGTCATTCAATCTGATATGTGATCTACTATTAAACTATTTCTTACCCTGTACAAATTATATTCATTAAAGTGAACCACTTTTAGCTTTGTGTAGTCTAATTTTAATAACAGCTGCTTAACAGCTGCTGGCAAAATTCTGAAATTCAACCCCAGGCTCTGAGGAGCCAGTAGGACCTGTCTCCAGCATACCCCTGATCCATCCAGTTTTGTTGTTTTTTTAATTGTTAGTAGTGAATAGACTTCTCATGGTTAATCTACTCATTGCTCAGGCAATTCCTATCACTGATTCTTGCAGGAGCTTTAACGGTAGGAAAGCATTAGCATCCGTCTTTGCATGCTTTTGATTCAGAGAATTTGACAAAAGCAGACTTTTCCTGAAGGGCATGGGCAGCTTGCGTATTCCTAAAATCGGTTCTACGTTTCAGTTCCCAAAGCCAAACAAACTGTGATTTAGGCATTTCTAAGATTTTGTTTGGAGCATTTCAAGCATTTATTGTTTAGTCATTTGTTGTAGAAGTGTCTGATCCCACTGAAAAATTTTAAATGTATTAAAATACCTTATACAATCTACCAAATAAGTTAAAAAGTTACAGTTCAGTCTACCTCTTCTTTTTCTATCTGTATTTAGGCTGCTGTTTTGGTGAAGTTTTAATTTTTTTCCCCCTCTACAAGTCGTTTCTGTGGAAGACAAACAAATTGGGGGCAGAGCCTGAGAGCAGATTTGGAGCACTTGGAGATCTATTGCTGACCAGCCCTATTTCTCATGAGTTGGGGGAAAGAAAGCCATTGTTTTTAATTTCTACTTAATATGAAAATGTTTGGTTTTTTTTAATGTTTCTTCCTGCTTTAAAAAAAATGTATTTTTAAAGGGAGAAAAATTCCTCTTTTGGCTCTAAGAAAAAGTCAGCTGTATGAGCAGGTGTGACCATATCATAACATGCTGATAGGGTATAAATCAATAAATTTTTACCTCTCAGGACTTGAATAACCTTGTTCTTAACTCTTAGAGGCTTGAGAAACATAAACAAGGATCAATAATCCAGATCACATATAAACACACATTCAGATGGAACAGGGGAGGAGGGTTGGCTAACCACTGGAAAATGAGACAAGATCCTTTCATAATCAGTAAAATACTCTTAATTAGGTACTGTGAACCCATTTGACAAAGGTAGAAATTGGAATCATTTTTTGGTAGCATACGTGAGTGTATCACCATGCTCACTCCCGAGTTTTCCCCTGGAAAATTTTATGTTGCCTCTTCTTGGAATACTTCCTGCCTTTTTGGTGTGAGATTCTGGAGGTGGTGGTGAAGTTCTCCCTGTTCACTCAGCTCAGGCAGGAGAGAACACTGGGCCACCTGGTGATGCAGGCTTCGTGGTGCCGCTGAGGAGCCCCTGGGGCTGGGATACCTCCTCTAAAATACCAGCTGCTGCATCTTCATTCCTTTGTTTCATTTTTTTAATGGGAAAACTCCATGAAAAGGGTCTTATCTTCAGTTTTTTGCCAGTTAACTAACATTGCCTCAGGGTCAGCTGAGGGACATTTGAGGGAGAAGAAAACCCGTTCCCAGACCGAAGGGCTTGGCTTACTCAGAAGAGGACACCAGGAGTGCTGGCAGACAAGGGGACACCAAAGGCTGCCGTCGGCAGGCAGCTGCATACAGCCCTGAAGCACGAGGGCTCCGGGGGGTGTTGCAAGGCTGTGGTCATCAGGAAACCTACTTCCATGGGAACTCTGTCCCACGACTGCCACCCTGGAGGGCACCTGTGGAGGACTGCACCTGCCATTTCACATACTCGGCCTTCTGGGCAGAAGGAAAGCCTGCCTCTCGGTCATGAGGCATCTCCAGGGTGCCACACAAAGGGACAGTTCAAAATCCTGGTGGCAAGGAGCCTTTTTTAAGGCATCTAGAGTCCACAATAGGGCTTTTTGTCTTTCCCTGATATGTACACATTTCAGTTAGGACAAATGATGGCATTGGAGCCAAGGCATCTGGGACCATATGGGACATACTGAACTCTGACATATTCAGTGTGAGACTGAGAGCAATGGCAGCTCAGGGCACCTCCAGAGCACAAAACTAGAAGCCAACCAAGACTTCCTTTGGCATAATCCTAGGACTGGCACAACATTATCTTGGTTAAAGGTAATCACAGGGCCAGTCCAGATTCAGTGTGGGAGGGTCTACAGAAGGGTGTGAACTTAGAGCGGGTAGGGCTCCCTGGGAGCCATCTCTGAAGACCAGTTATCAGTAAAAATTCCTCAACTGTTTGATAAAACAGGCCTAGATGAGCTCTTGCACTTTGACAAATTTGCCCATAATTTCAATAGTTGGAAATTTTGTGAGTTTCCAAATACTTTACAAGGATTAGGCCTGTTGATCCATTACTCATTCACATAAATCACATTTATCAAAGAGAAACCTATTTAAAAGAATGGAGGTTTTGTTTGGGAGTAATCTTATTATTTTTGGCATGGATTGATGGGTAACACATTGGCCCTTAGAGTTGCAGAGCTAGTTGGAAATTATCACCCTTTTTTGAGATGGCAGATTTCATTCTGGTGCAATTTTGGTCTATTACTAGAAGTATCAAATGGCTACTTAATAGAATTTCAGGGATTAGAATTGGGTCTCTTGATTTCCATTCAAATGTTTTCCCCCAAACAGCAGATTGCGCCTGTTTGGGTTTCTAGTTTCAGTAAATAAAGTTAAATCTAAAGGATTAAGGACACTTGCTAATGGGGTAATGGATCTAAAAGCTTCTATGATTTCCTTTCCCTCAGTTTTAAAATAAACATAAAAGTTCCCAAACCCCAGAAGAGTATTTTATTCATAAGCTTTCCCCTCAGCTGTTGCAGAGATACAATTAGCCACTAAAAAAGTCTGAAGTCCATGCTTTCTATCTGTTTTTGGGTAGGGAAGTGAAATGTATTTTGTTTTTATTTTTACATTGTATGTAGAAGATAAAGAGAATGCCTTCATTTCAGACTGAAGGGGATAGAGACTTCAGCCTCCTAACAGTTCCTTTCATTATCAATTCCAGGTATGAAATTGACAGCAGGTGACAAATCCAGAGCCATGCCTGCTTCCAGTGCCCAAATGCCCCTCCCTCAGGGTAGCCACTGGATTCTAGGACTTGTCCAAATAGGAGCTCACAGCGAAGCCCAGGACTCTGCCCACGAGCTTGAATCCTAGCCCCTTTGGCAAGTGTCCTCTGCTCTCAACCTCACTCCCCTCATGTGTTCAGTGGGGAACTTTCTACAAGTTCTTTTCAGTGTTAAGTGCAGCTGTGTGTGAAGCACATTGTACTGAATGCTCAGCAAAGGGTGGCTGCTTCGTCCCATTCCAAATGGGTTTAACAGGGTGTGACTTATTCCCACACCTGGCTGTGCCTAAGGTCCAAATGACCAGTTTATAAGGATTGTGTCACTGTCATACAGGCTATAATGCTCGCCTTCCCACTTTCCAGAGCCCTGGGTCCTTTGGGCTTCTAAGATATGCTGAAATGCAGTCAGGATAGCCACCCTCCTAACCGCATCCAGCCAGACTCAGTCTAATTGTCTAAGGCTCCAGGTAGCAGCACAAAAGAGCTTTGAGGCTGCAGAGCTTAGGGAAGGTGAGGAGACTAGAGCATAAGAGGAAATCGGCTCTGCTAGACAGAAGACATTACATAGTCTTAATAGGGACCTATTTTTGCTTCTGAGACATGATGTCTCTTGTGATGAAGACCTTGAACTAATGATCAAAAGAGAGGGAAATATAATTTCTAGTAGTTGGAAGCTATCCAGCCCATAGCTCTGTATATATAATTCACAGGATACTAAATATAAAAGCCTATGTTGAAGCATCCTAAAGATTCAGGAAACCACAGTAATTTTGAAAATTCTTTTTCTAGTTGCAGAAGACTCTGAGGTTTATATCCTGAGAATTGACATAACTTTCTTTGTAAGTGCCACATAATCAATTCTTAAGAACTCAAGTACCAGAAGGAAGTGAGCAGGTTAGAATCAAATATTGCTTATGGTTATTGAGGTATGGTAGAGTCCAGAGGAACTTTGGGCGGCGGGGGAGGGAAGCAGGCATGGGTTTGAGGCCCAGCTCTGCTGGGGGTGGGGGTGGGAAGGTGGCAGGAAGATGATGTTTCCAAACCTGCTCTGGCCCTAAAAGACTTTGATTCCCCAGCACACCATTCACAGAACTTCTTCAGAGTATCAGCACCTAAAGGTGGCGGTGGTGGCCCAGGAGAGGATGGAGGGCAAAGGTGAGATTGTGCAGCAGGTGTCCTAAAGGAGATTTGGAAATAAGCCATCGTTCAGTGGGGAGCATGGCATGAACTGTGACTCATGGAAGCAGCAGTCAGTTCTGTGCTGGCTTATAATGAAGGGGGCTTGGCTTGATTTTCCTAAAGAATTACTAAAAAAAGGCAAGGGACTGAATGAGTTACTGGCTGTGGAATTTATAAAGCAGTTTCCCCTCAGAGGCAGAGAATGGAGTAGTTGATTACTCAACCTTCAGACTCTGTTCCCCTAAAGATCAGAAATGGTAATTGGAATAAAGTGGACTTCTGTCTGCAGATAGGGAAACTTGGTGTCAGGATGGGCATTGACTCAGACTGACGTATCCCTCACTGAAAGAGGAAGAAAAAGGAGTGACAGGGAATCTGTACAGAGACACTAGCCCGAGCGGAGAGCCCCAGGGGCTTCTTGTTTGGAAGATATTTATTGCTGGGAGAGGCATGGTGGTGGTGGGCACGGAATATTGGTACAAAGAATCTGAAAGCCACCAACTAGAAGGAAGTGAAAGTAAAGGCCTTGTTGTGCTATAAGCTGTAGGAGCAGGAGAGCGCTAAGACCACAGAGCAACAGAGAAGCAGCAAGCATATCCCTCAGGAAGCTCCTGCCGCACGCTCAGCCACAGGCTTCTGGGTGGCATATGGATGTGGGCTTTCGGCAGGTCCTTGTGAGGAGGCTTATTCCCCCAGGTACTCCTCCCACGGTTTCCGGCTCTTCGGTCAACCTTGCCCCCACCAGGAAGATGGCCAGCCAAGGACAGCCCTTCCTGCCCCGGAGCCTCCACTCCGATGGGTCCTTGCCCTTCCCATCCCTTCGGGCAGCTGCCCCCGAGTTGGAGGGCACTGGTGAAGTGTCAGGATTTTCTTGGTGGACGTATCTCCCAGGTCTGGGGTGGGACAAAACCACGTGGTTTTCTAGAAGCATGTTTCCTTCTTTGACTTTTAAAAGTGTGTGTTCTACCCTCTTCCCTTGTGTGACTGCGTTTTTGGCTGTTTGAAGTTGTGTTTTTGTTTTTAGATGTGCGTTATCTGGACAACGAGGCAGGGAGGTTCTGTTTTCCTGCTGTATTCCACCATCTTTCATCAGAAACCTAAGACATTTAAAACAAGATTCAGTTCTTTAAAAGGCTGCTTAGCCCATGCCATTCTCATGACTTTTGTTCAAAGTGAAGCACATCTGAAAAAAAGCCATTACAAAACCTACTGTCCAGGGAGAGGAGTAATTGAGTATAAAGAATTGAGGGGTTTTCCCTTATTTTTTGACAGTCTGAGGACCTCCGGGATGAAGTGAGGTTGCAATTGGCAATAGGAGGAAGGGGGGAGGCTGAGCAGGGGGGCAAACCTGCTAAATCTAGAAGTTATGCTTTCTTCAATTTCTACGCCTTGGGAAATGCAGGTTGCACAGAGGGCTGGTGAGAATGCAGCGAGGTGAGCCTGTGGAAAGGTTTGAAGAACGTTCAATCGCGCCGCTAGAGTGAGGGGCAGTCACCGTTAGAATCAACAATGAAACGGGTCCTTTCTTGTCACTAGGAGAATTCACGAAGAGGCGGGCGAGCCTGTGCCAGGGGGTGGGTAGGTGGGGGTTGACCAGCTGGCCCCGAGGGCCTGTTACCCTGATGGCAGGCATCTGTGGTGAAGGCTCCCACTGTGACTGCGATCGCTGGTGTGCTCAGAGGAGGGAGGA